GACCCCAAGAAGGGAGCCAGAACCCAGCCTTTCCATTTTCAAGGGACCCAGGAAGACGGACTCTGCGTCACCCACCTGAGCTCTCACAGGCACCGTGCCCACTGCCGACACCAGGTCCAACAGGCCCGGCCACTCACACTCCTCCCACGCCCGCTGTGCCCACATGCGGACACTGCTTATTAAGATCAGCCCCAGCGCCCCACGCTCTGCACACAGAAGACAATTACTACCCTGGGCTTTAAACTGTGGATACCACAAAGGCCCTCCGCAGCTGAAAATGTTTTTTATTGTTGGTGGGAAACCAGACCATGTGGCCAGTCAACATTCTGGGAAGTTCTGGAAGCTTCTGGTCACCAGCTTTGCTCCCTGGCTCTATTACCAACTTGAGATGCTGACAGGGTGATGCCATTTCCTGTGTCTGTTCTGAAGTGGGAAGATCAGAAAGCTTTTAGACATCCTCTGAGAAGTAAAGAGGTTAGTATTCTGGGCCTCTCCGGCTTGCAGGAACAGGCAGCTCTCTAATTGCACTGCTGAGTGGACCGTACTTCCTGGCTGGCTTGGGGCCTGGCAGACAAAAAGCAATCTGTAGAAAGGCCTGGCCTCCTCTGCATGGTCCCTTCTTTCTGGAAACAGATACTCCCTCACCAGCGTGGAGGAAGTGGGCACGGCAGCCTGGGGGAAACCCTCTCCACTGGCCGCTGCATATACAAGGGTTAAAGAATACGGTGAATGTAAAATTTAAATATTTACTACAGTAAAGACACGCTACCAGGAGTCCCCTCCTTCAAAAGCTTTCCCGCTCACTCTGAACACATGTATCCCATCAATCTTGCCACTTTCTGAAGCAGTTATGGAAGCGTTCTTCCCTGAATCTTTATGTGATCAAAAATACAGTGAGCACTGCCGCCAAGCACCATCCAACAGACGGGACTTGTAGGAAAAAAAAACATGTAGCTGGTCCTCGTTGGCCCAATCACAGGAGCTGGCAGCGTGAGACACTGGCTCTTGAAGGAAGCCAGAATGACCACCAAAAGACAGTTTTGAATGGATTCAGGGCATTGGGACCGCCACAACAGGGCAGCTAGGACACTGAGGAAGGGAGACTCCAGCTTGCTATGCAAAGAGGCAAGAACAATGGGATACGTGTAACTGGAATAAGGAGGAAGATTTTGAGGGAGATTCACAGTAATGTGTGTCTTCTTGTCCTGAGTTTTTATAATTAAACACGCCTTACCTTTTCCAATCACACCCTGTACGTCTCCCGTGTGCTAGGCAGTTAACACTCACTGTCTTAGGGTAATGACCTTCACCTCCCCAAGTATCTTAGTTTGGGCAGAAAACCACAGCTATGGCAGTCAGTACAAGGACTCGCACGCTGAGGTAGCTTGGCTGGCTGGCAGCACCCTCCCCCTGCAGGGCTTGCGCAAGCCTGGAAGCTCCCTGCCTCTTGAGTGCCTCCAGCACATGAGACATCAGTCCAAGTCTCAGCCAGCAGGTCACCAGGTCGTGCAGCGCCTGACCCCACCCAGCCCTGCGGTGCCAGGCGCTGCTGATCCTCTCAGGCCCTCTCCACTACCTGGGGGGGTATCGCCCGTCATCTCCCACCACACGGGCTGGCTCGCAGATAACCTTCGGCAGACCACAGGGCTACCGGCCTGGTCAGGTCAGATAGCAGTCAAGCACACACACGCACACCCTCGGCATGCAGGAGACACCATGCAGGACCTTCAGCCTTGTACATGGCTTGGGTTTTATAGGAGAGGGAAACTGAGGCCTGAGCAAAGCCTGTGGGCAGGCCCTGAATGGGTGTCCAGAGTTGGAGGGACGACTGCAGATAAGTTTTGGCTGAAAGGATGCACAACTGTCTAGGTGACTCTCACTGTACGGGGAAGCCTGGGGGACTCGGCTTTCAAAGCTACACAGCACAAGGGCCAGACTTTCTCCCTAAACCTCACAGGCCTAACTTAAAAATTAGGAAGGATGATGGGGTGTGGTGGCATACATCTGGAATCTCACATACTTGGGAGGGTGAGGCAGGAGGACTACAGGTTCAAGGCCAGCCTAGGCAACTGGGCTGGGCTACACAGTTAAATTCAAAGCCAGAGTGAACTACACAGGGAGCCCCATGCTCAGCCCAACAAACAGACACCAAATACAATCAGTGATGACCACCACCACCAGGGAAAGCTCTCCTCTTGGTACTTAAACCTGAATTTTTAGTCATGAAAATTAAAACAAGGGAAACATTTTAAGCCCATCAGATTGACAGAAATTAACACCTGCCGGCTAAGCCTGTGTCTACATTCCAGCTGCGGGGGAAGCTAGGCAGGAAAAGTACAAGTTCATGAGAACCTGGTTCAAAAGTTTAACAAACTTTAAAAGGTCTGGGGATGTATCTCAGTGTAAGGGCCCTGGGTTCAAACCCAGTACCACAAAAACGGCTGCTAAGATCTGGTGCTGGCAACTATGAAAAGCTCAGTCTCACCCACCTGCGTGGGGCAGAGCGCCAGTTGCAGAGGAGGGACCTTTAAAAACACCCAGCAAAGCAAGGCGCCACCTCAGGACCCAGCAAGAGCAGAGGCTGCCATTTGTGCTTTTCCACTGGCCCAGGGGAAGCCCTTGTAGAGCCCAGAGCTCCAGAGGGGTTTACTGCGGCACTGTGGGGGAGGGGGAAGAGGGAGGGGGGAGGGGGAGAGGGGAGTGGGCGGAGGCAGAGGAAGAGGAGGAGGAAGAGGAGGAGGAGGAGGAGGAGGAAGAAGAGACGGCCTGCCTGTCCTTCAGAACAGCCACAGAGCACGGAAAATGAATGAATTAAGCCTGGTGAGTTGTGCACACCTAAAATCCCAGAATTTGGGAGGCTGAGGCAGAAGGATCCCAAATTTGAGGTCAGCCTGAGCTACACAGCAAGTTCAAGACTAGCCTGGTCACTGTAGGGAAGTCTTATCTCAAAAAAAAACAAAACTGGGTGTATTGATACATGTTTGTAATCCCAGCCCTCCCCGGTGGCTGAGTCAGGAAGACTAATACAGAGTATTCAAACACAAAATGAAAAGCCCAAGAGAATTACAAGGTGACACAATGTTCCACCAGAAAGCTGGGGCACAGCTATGGAGGAAGGTGCCTGACCAGAAAGGCAGAGCCACCATACATGCTGCCCAGAGAGGGCCTCGGGGCTGCAAAGTGGCTGAGAGTGGGAGCTAGGAGTGAGGGGCCCAGCTTAGCAGGCACAAGGCCCTGAAGTCCCCACCCCAACACCAAAACCAAGGCCACAAAACGGGCTTTGATCTCTATCTCCCAGAGCATTCTAACTAGAGTAGAATCTAAGCTGCCAAAGGGCTGCAGGCCTGCCTGGCTACACAGCCATTCCCGAGAATCTTCTGGAATGTGTGCTGAGAGGGGTGACCAGGGACCAGGCGTAGGGACCCACTGGCCTCCCAGAGGCACCTTACTGTGAGCCCCATCAAGGGCAGGAAGGGGCCTGATGCTGATCCTTTTCACCTTCTAAATTCCTGTCTGCCTCATTGCTATTTCTCAATAAAATTATGGGGGGGGAGGACCTCCTGTCTGGAGGGCTCGGCCTGTGTGTGCAAGCTCTTGGGCTCCAGCCCTCTCCCATAAGAGATCAACTGTCAAAGAATACAGTAGCGAAAATGAAGATTTCACCTCTCACATTGCACCCTCACCTGTTTCTAATACTTTGCACAGCCCACACCAGCAGCCAGGCCCCACGGTGGCTCCTCCCTCCGATTTCCACCCATTCTACACTGAGCCCACAACATGACCAGTCTGGTCGCCGCCCGCCTCCAGCCAACATCATGGGAACCCTAGAATCAGGACTGGCCGCGGACTGGGAGTCGCCAAGCGCCCAGGAGTAGAGGCCGCACCTTTACACAGGGCAGAGAACCCCGGCTCTGAGGCACTGATCTGGACCAGAGTGGAAGCCACTGTTGTCCACGCGCCTTGAATTGTCTCTAGGCTTGACTCTTTCTATAAAGCTCTAAGTCACCACGACCAGAGGCATGGGAAGCCATTCTCCACGGAGTAACAGGAGAAAGATAGCCCGCCCAGCACTCTGGAGGGTGAAACAGGATTGCAGGAGTTCAAGCCCAATCAGGGCTACCTAGTGAACACACGGGGAGAACAAATCTTAAAAAGACGCCCACCCCCGTCCCCAGAAAAAAACACGAGGAAAGAGCCTTCACCTCCCAACACCCCCGCAGGGCCCTTCATCAATAAGACCCCTGCAAGGCTCAGCCCTCTTTTCTTGGCTCAGCCCTGTTTTCTCACCGTGAACCCCAGCGATGCTCCAGAATGCTGGCACAACAGGTTCGCGCCGCCAGTCTAGCCGCCCTGTTCTCTTCCGGCCGAGGCACCTGGGGATCAGCTTCCCCAGGACTTAAGGCTGGAGGACTCCCTTCGAAGCCCACAACCTTCCCTTCCCGTAACCCTGGCTTTCCTCCTCCTCCCCCCACCCCCGCCCGCCACTCCCGGAGGTCACACCCAGGCCTAGGAAGCTCAGACCCATCCGCGGCCCGGCCCGCGGTCGCCACCCCAGCCGCGCTGCCCGCCAGCCGCCCCCGCAGTCCCCGTCCTCCCCACGCGCTGCGCTTTCAGTTTGCGGCTCCCCTTCTCCAGCGCCCCGCCGGCCACCGCCTGTTCCGATTCCAGGAGGTCGGGGTCCTGGGGGCCTGGGAACGCGCTGGGGTCGCCGGCATGGAATCGCCCGGGCAAACTTCAGGACGGACGAGGAAAAAGCAAAAGCGAGCACAAGGCCGGCGCGCCGAGAGCGATCGAGGCCACCCAACCCGCCCCGACTGGATCTGGGCCTGCAGCTGGACCGGCGCCTCCTCCCGGCGGGTTCTCGGCGCGACCGTGCGCCGGTCCGCCTCGCCCAGAGCGACCGCCCGGTCCGCTCCCCGCCCGGCCGAGAGTCCCGCACTGCTCCCCGCGGCTCCAGCCCGGAGGCCCGCTCCCGCACGCCGCTTCCTCCCTGCACTCACCGAGCAGCGCCGGAGCCTGGGCCGCAGCTGCGAGCGCGCAGAGCCGAGCCGAACCTAGCCGGGCTGACCTGGTCCCCACGGCTCCTATTTACCCGCGAGGCTCCACCCATCACCACGTGATCTGAGCATCCCGCCCGGCCACGTGACCCTGACCGCTCATGTGACCCGAGCCCCTCGCTTCCTAGGAGAGGCGCCAGGACCCTCGCTGCCTTCCCAGCCGCTGCAGCCCCGCTCCCGGGGCCAGGCCGGCCCTTTTCGTCCCGGACCACTGAATGTTCCCAAGACGCATTTGGGGCAGCTTGGGCCCCAAGTCAGTGTGCCCGCGTGCCAAATAACTTAGTAAGACGGGGGAGGCACGCTTCAGACCTCTGTGGGCCCAGCTTCCCCTCCCCAAGGGCCGACCGCAGGGATTTCTGTTTCTGAGGCAGTGCAGAAGCCAGAACCTTCGCAAAGCCAGCTCTGCCCTAAACCTAGTGCTGCCGCTCAGCCGCTACTCCCTGCATAGGAGGTGTCCCTGCCGCAGTGAGCTTCCAGCTACTGGGAGGCTGAGACAGGAGGATGGCAAGTTGGAGCCCAGCCCGGGCATTTAGCCAGACCCTGTCGCAAAAAGGCGGAGGTCGTAGCTCAGCATGCTAAGTCCTATTAAGGAGAGTCTGGGGTTTTATTTAGGTCTTTGCGATAATAAGGAACCCAGATGAGGTAGTCGTGAGCAACCTACGAAAACCTGGTATTTGTCTCATGCTGTCTCTGTGTCTCTGCCTGGGAGCCTTGAAAAAGCTATGTAAATACGCTGCCACTGTTATATCCCGAGCCACAAACTCTCTTCTTTGTTGTTTTGTTTTTTGCTACAGTGTCTTGCTATGTAGTCAAGCTGGCTTGTCCTTGGCGTGATGATCCTGCCTCAGCCTCCCCAGGGCTGGGATTACAGATGTGCAACACTATGCCCAAGGTTGACTTTCCACTCTCCGGGTCCTGGCCTAGGACAACTGATCTGCTCAGTGGTAGGAGGACAGAATAAAACACAGAGAAAACATATTTTAGTTACAAGGGACACCAGGATGATCAAAGCCTGATGATGGGCTAGAACACAAGGCACGGAGTCCTGGGGGGTGCGAGCATGACTGGGGGGTGGTGCTGGTGGCTGCAGGAAGCAGTGGGGGAGAACTGATCAGATCAAGGTTCAAGAATTAAGGAGCAGTGCAGTTTAAGAAAAGCACTCAGCAGCAGATCATGGTTAACTGGTAACCTGATTGTCTGATAACTGCGACCACTGAGCTAGGAGGAATTCGCAGGAGTCCTGTCCTTGGCTGCTGTGTTATCTTGCTTTAAGGTGCCAGAACTTTGCTGACTGCTAGTCTCAGCTCTAGCTGTTGGCTTAAAGATTAATTGGTTCTTAAGCCAGCCGGGGGTCTTGCCACGATCATTGGCCTAGGACGGACTTTCAAGTTATTTTTGTGCTAATTTATTAATATTATTGCCTGCTCTGTAGTGTCAAGCTTGTCCTCAGCACTCTGCAACAGTCATGTTGTCCTGAGCCTGTTCGGTCCATCAGAAAGGGTCCCCCACCTGGGGAAGGAGTGGGAAGAAACATGTCCTGAGAGACCAGGTATTACACAGCCCCAAGGGGCCTGGAGAGCCAGGTGGGCACCGGGACCACAGAGGAGAAGGAGGCTCAGCTTGCAGTGGCCTCCTGGCCTGTTTGTTCCCGCCCAGCCTGTGATGCCTCTGCGTCCACATGTCACTATGTCACCATCCGAGGGTATCAGATCCCTGTGGACCTCTGCAAGGGGCTCCCGTGGTGACTCAGGCATGGACATGTGGAACCATGGTAGGGCTCTCAGGTGACAGCAGGCCTCCAGGTGTGCTTTACATGGGCTGTGCTGCATCGGTAGAGGGAGAAACGCAGTGGTGCAGACGGTACGGCGCAAATTCTGCCGGAGTGAAGGAAGCTTGGAGAGAATGTAGTGCCTGTTCTTTTTTCCCCTGCTGCCCCCTTTTTCCTTTATTCTCCCTTCCCTCTGTCCCTCCCTCCCTTGTTCCCTGTTTCCTTCCTGAACCCAGGGCCTTGACACTGGGCTACATCCACAGCCCTTAGAAAGGGAACTTACCCCATGTGTGTAACATCGGCTGCCCACTGAGCCTGTGGGAAGAAGCCGAGGTGCCCACCCCACAGAAGGAAAACATGTGTCCTCCTGTGAACTTGTACCAGATGACCAGAGCAGCATTATTCATGGTAGTTCAGAGTGGAAGCAATCTGTGTTCATCAGCTAATGAGTAGACAAACAAAACGTCATGTAATCACAAAATGGACTATTACTCAGCCATAAAAAGGAAGGCGGTCGTGGGCAAGCCTTAAGCATATTGTGCTAAATGAAAGAAAAAAAGCCCCCCACAAGAGGTATCCCGAGGTAGCCAGTCCAGAGATAGAAAGTACAACAGTGACAGCCCGGTGGAGGGAAGGCGCAATTTGGGAAGTGACGCTAAAGGGTGGGAAGTCATGAGATGGCGCTAAATGTGACCATGGTGGCTGCTGCGCGCTGCTGGGAATGCCAGAGATTCTTGAATTGCTCTTTATTCTGTATCACAAGTGTCAGTTGTCATGTTTAGTTCTGCAAGGAGAATTCTTCCCCTTAAGACAAATCAAGGGTTCAGGGTTTTTTTGTTGTTGTTTGTTTAAGACAGGGTCTCTGTGTATCATAGTGATCCTCCTGCTTTGTCCTCCTGAATGCTGGGATTACAGGTGTGTGCCTCCCGGAAGGCTGGAATTGCGCTTTCTAAATGGGTGAAAACAACATCATGTCAGTTACTTTTCAGTAATGATGTTAGCAGACAAGTTGATTGGAAAGACCCGGGAAAGAGGAAAACTAGAACTTTTTAGAAAATTTCTGTCATTTCAGGAGTTTCTTTTCTGAGGAAATGCCTGAGTTGTTCTTCTCTGTCTTCAAATCCTGCAAGGCAACCTTCCTTGGCCCTCTTGCTAACCATTTCTGTCCCCCAGAGCAAGCCCCTGGCGGGTGGCTTTGGGCCAAAGGGCCCTGGAACTCATGGCTGCGCAGGGCTGACCCCGATGCTGGCCCTGTGGGTGCTGGCCAGGCCTGTTCCCTGGATGGGGGCTCTGCAGAGTGACCTGACCAGCACGAACCCCTCTTAGCCTTGTTCACTGGTGAGGCTTAGCGTCGTGCTCAGCTTGGCCTTCTGGAACCTGGTGAGGTGGTGCAGCCCTGTTGTCATAGCTACTTGGGAGGCTAAGGCAGGAGGGTTGAGAGGTGCGAGCCAGCCTGGGCCACATGGCAAGATTTGTTTAAAAATAGAAAACACTAAATAAATTGTCCTATAGGCTTGGAGTGGCAAAAGTCTTAGAAGATCAGCGAAACCTCCCACCCTAATCTGCTTTACGTGGCAGAAATAGCTGGATGTAGTGGCGCATGCCTGTAATCGAAACACTCAAGGCAGAAGGACAGTCATGAGTTTGTGTCTGGCCAGCCTTACAAAGCGAGACCCTGTGTCAAAAGACCAAAAAACAAATACACCACCTAGTGTAGGGTCCCATGTGTGATACCTTGGACTGAGACTTCCCTGGCCCTTCCGTGGGACAAGGGCCTGAGCCCAGTGTCCCCTGCCATCGAGGGCTGTGGCATCTTGTCCATCTCTCCCAAGCTTGGCATCTGCTGTGTGGTGCTGGATGGCTGTGACCCAGGCTCCTAGCTGGCCAGCAAGGGGTCACACTGATGCCCCATGGTCCTCCCTGACCCCCAGTTGTAGCACAGAGCACAGGGTCTTCAATAAGCCTGGACATTGCCCGAGCACAGACTCAGCCCCAGAGGGTCCAGCAGCCTGTTGGGACTAGGATTTAAGCCAACCAGAGCTTGGGGGGTGGGTGAGCTTCGGCACCCCCAGCGGGGGCTGCCCCTTCTCAGAGCCCAGGCAGCCAGTGAGCCTGAGGTCCTGCACTTCTGCTCAGACTGCTGAGCTGCAGCCCTCCTCTAGGCCGATTCACCTGGCAGCTGGAAGGGGTACATCTTGGGAAGCGGACCTCTGCTCCCAATACAGAAAAGAGCTCAGGAGGGCCCTGTGTGAGGTCCTGGCAGATCGGGCTAATAATGCAAGTGGGGCCGCTCATGCTCAAGTTCCAGGGCCCCACACTGTGAGTGTGGCTCGCCGAGAGTCAGGATTGGAGACAGAGCCTTCCCTGAGCGTGCAGGATGCGAAATTTCCTCTGCCTCAATCCTTGGATGGAAGTGAGTGGAACCAACAGTGTGTGACTCAGTCTGTCACTTTGCTTTGGGTTCAGCCTCTGTCCCCACCTTGGGAGGAAAGGAATTTGGAAAGGCCCCACCCACCCCTTTCTGTTTCCACTGAGCCCATTGGCACATGATCCGTTGTATGGGCTGAAGTGCTATCCAACCTAGAAATGCACTACAAGGCCTGGAAGCCAGGTGTTGCGATTTTGCCCTGGAACCCCCCTCACCTCATCTGAACCCACAGTACCCAAACTGGATCGCCTCAGGAGCCAGAACCTCCCAAGTGTGCCGAGGGCTTTGGGGCAGTTGGACAGCTGTTCCTCTTGTGGGGTCACCCTTCCCAGCACCCTCTGTTTCTCAGCCCAGACAGGGCGAGAAAATAACAGGATGGCAGGGGAAAAAAAATTGCATCTGAGTTCTGCTGCTCCTTGTGAGTGCACACTAAGTTGGGTGACAGGCGTGGGGGTGGGGGTGGGGGTGGGGGTGGGCCTGGCCACCTTCGTGGGGACCAAAGCCCCACATGATGTATATGCCCATAGCCAGACACATTGACAGTCCTGGCCTTACAAAAGTAAATGCAGCTGGGAGGGGTGGCACATGCTTGGATTCACAGCACTTGGGAGGCTGAGGCAGGAAGATCACTATGGGTTCAGTGCCAACCTGGGCTATATAGTGAGGCCCTGGGTTCAAAAAACAAAACAAAAAATTGCTGGCAAGGGTGTGGAGGATTCAGTTGGTGAGAGAAGAGAAGGCTAGAGTCACTTTGTTTTAAGAAATACTCTGAAAATGGGGGAGAAAAAAGTAAAACCAAAACTAAATATTCAGTTACTCTATGACCCAGCAATTCTCTTACTATCTACTTACTACCA